CAATCCACCTGGTCACTACGCATAGTTGGCTTTTTAAATTATCGATTCCATAGTTGATGCTGCAGGAATACACAGTAGTCATACATGCAAAAGCTATCCGGTCCACTCCTCATGTGTCTTTTATCCCAATACTCCCACAATGTACTATGAATTCGCACTTTTCCACTAGGTTTTTCCATCGGTGCATATATACGCATCGAAGGTGAATGGTGTTAATCACATCGTGCATATAATCTAGCTGTCCCTTATGCTACGGACAGGTTGTACTGAGCTTGATTCATTTCTAATCAATCCCCGTAAACAGTTAAAACATCAAGTGGAACGGGCAACGCACCAACTGCTCACATTGTCCGCCGGCGAACTTCGCACGAAAAAAAAGTTGTGTGCAGCCTATCGAGCGTGTGAACGGACTTGGTTCGGTCATGTTCAATCCCTGCGAACGCGGGCTAAACCCATTCAAATCAATGGCGAACTGAGTAGTTTGGATGATTCGGAAATCAGTGCGAATCTTACCCCGAACGTCACAACTGAGCCCAACCGCCGACCACTCCGCGCGTATCACAGCTTTCGCGGCGGGTCTGTCGATTTGGAATCCACGTCGTCCGCCTCGAACACGTTGGATCTGGCGAATCGGCGAGCCCCGATCAGGCGTCACTGTTCCGCGCGTTCAGCTACCCTGCCGTCACCGAGCTCCACATTACAGTCATCCGATTCTTCCGGTGTACTGATGAGCAAAGTTGCTCCGGCAGTCAATAAGGTACGTTATTGACGAAGTGTTACAAGTTCATTCTTGACTGAAATCATTTGCTCCGGTTTGTCTGAGCATGCCTGTTCACTCGCAAACGTTGTACCATCGACCGAACTGGAATCTTTCTTGCTTGTTGCGATAAACACCGAGTATGCCATTTAGGCTGCTGATGAAATGTTTGTAAACTAATTACCCTGCTCGACTAACAGGAGAATACGCACGTAAGTTACTATACCCACTGTAGTTCCGGTAATCGCGTGTCATTTTTATTGTATAACTCAAGCAAAACGATTAGAATTGTCTGTGGGCATTGATTGTTTGCAGACAGTTCCGCTCTTCTAATCGATTTACACAGCTGGCATTGTGTGAATATTTCTGTTCGCTGGATAACAGTTTCAATTCAGCCCACCTTACTCGGGCACCTATCATAACCGGATGAGTTTCAACTGTATATATTTTGTACAGAACTTCCTGAGAAATTTTTACCTATGGTTCCCCACTCTCACAGACGAACTGGTTATAGGTGGTTCCTCAATTTAATCTCCAGACAGTAAAAATAATTTCGCCATAGTAAGACAATACGTAAAAATTCTATTGTAGATGCTTTGATATAATGATAAACGGGTGGCGGAAATAACCCCAGCTGTCACCATCGGCTTTTAAGGACGGAGGCTCAGCCTTAGTCTCGGAGTTAACAAAACTCCCGGGCTCAGTGTGGGAGAGAGAACAGGTTCCAACTGAATGGCGTGAATCGGTCATCATACCGATTTAAAGGAAAGGTGACAGATCCTCTTGTAAAAACCACAGAGGAATAAGTTTAATCAACATCGTCTCTAAACTCCTCTCTGGCATCATACTCCGTCGATTGTGTGCCGCACGTGAACGGTGCATGCGTGAAAACTAGGCTGGCTTTAGACCTGGTCGAGGTTGTATCGACCACATCTTCACTCTTCGCCAAACTCTGCAGCACCGACATTCCTTTCGTAGACTCACAATCTCTGTCTTCCTGGATCAGAAAGCGGCTTTCGACTCAGTTGACCGCTCTAAACTCTGGCGGTGCCTTTCTCTGAAAGGTGTGCCCGAGAAGTNTTATTTCAATATTACTATCGCTTTATGCTAATATTCGAAGTTGAGTCCAAGCTTACGGTACTTTTTCACCCCAGTTGACCACGGAAAGTGGTGTTCGTCAGGGTTACCCTCTCTCTCCTTTTCTATTCAACTTTGTTATTTTTTGATTATGGAAACAGCCCAATCCTTGTGCGAGGATAGCGGTATCGATTCACTTTTAGGTGACAGGCTATCTGATCTAGAGTATGCAGACGACTTTGTGCTGCTAATTGAAGATCCAGGTAAGCTTTAAGCTTTTCTGGATAGTTTGAGTGCTGGTGTAACCAGGTTTGGTATGCGTTTTGCCCCTTCAAAGTGTAAAATGTTACTACAAGACTGGGTTGGTCCAGCACCCAGCCTCACTGTAACTGGGGAGGTAATAGAGCAAATGGATAAATTCTGTTATTTGGGCAGCTACATCTCACGGACGAAGCTCGCTCACAGAAGGCTCGGTTGGCACTTGCCAACTTGTGACGTCTGTGGCGCCATCGTGACATCCGGTTGTCTGTGAAGGGTCAACTGTATGCCGCGGTTGTTCAGCCAGTTCTGCTATACAGCGCAGATAATTAGCCATTGGGAAGGCGAGATAAAGATGGGTTGTTGATTTTTGAACATCGCTGTCTACGCAGCAATGCACGAATCTGGTGGGGCAGCCGGACGAACAATGCTAAGGTTAGGCATACAATTCTAAGTACATGCGCTACGCATGTCACCAGATAGGTTGCCACGGCGAGTGATGTTCGTCGAGGCAGGTAGTGGGTGGAAGAAAGCCAAAGGCGGTCAAGCTAAGACCTGGGGATATGAAACCCCTAACCAGGAGTCTGGGTCACATATGCCCCCTTTAGGCTCTCTGGCTGGAGACTACGAGATGGTCTTACTCGATGGTTAGAGACACTAAGTGATATGGTATGATATGATATTTAAGTGTCGTAAATAGTGGTGTTCTTGCATCTTGTCAATTTCTCTCCAAAATTAGTCTACTGCAATTCTCCGTTTTCTGTTCGACTCTACTTTCAACTTTCCTGTCTTTCTCCTAATGTTCATCAGCCAAAAGACAGCACCCAAAACCGGCGCACAATAGTGCATGGTTAATGGTTGTATAAACTCAAACTGAAAGTGATAAATTTATTTTTCATCGAACTCTCTTGTATAAGCACCTTAAGGCCGCCAGGAAAGCGAACTATGCGATAGCGACTTTGAGAGAGATCAGACCTTCCGCTACCAAGTTTGAAGCACATGAATTACTGGAAGTGCCTTTCTATCAATTGGTTGTTGCAGATTTGAAAATCTGAGTGCCGCTTCCACACATGTTGCCATATATTGAGTACCATCATTTTCACGAGAGAAACAGCAGAAGCCAAACATTTTGGGGTACGTGGGAATTCATCCCCGGGAAAGACAGTATAATCCACAACATGTGACCTTGGAAAATCACATGTTCAAAATGATAGCTAATTTATACGAATGGATTTTTACACAACTTCAGTCCGTCACTCTCGGAAGCACAGTTTCATCTCACTCGTACCGTTCTTTCAAAAGTGGTGGAATCAGTTGTTGATGGAGTGTTTATAAAAGTTTGTTCTGTAGTCAACTCACCACGGATTTCGAAGATGATTAGATAAGAACAGTCGGAACAGAAGAAGCAGTAAAAGTAATCCATTTCAATTTCTCGAAATCTTTTGATCCGGTAAACCAGAGAATAGTATTTCGAGGACTCCAAAGTTTCGGTGTTCGAGGGCTGTTTCTGTATTAGACTGAGGAATTTCTTGGGCAAGACACTACATCAGCTGGAGTTATTGGTGCATTAATGGAACCAATTATTGCGGTTCATGGGGTACCACTGGAATCCTTACTTTTCAACCACCTTTCTGTAGTAGTCATAAACGATTTATCACAAATTATCAAAGAACAAGCCTGACTATTCGCTGACTACGGAATAACGTGAATATCAATAAACCAGTCTTGGTCTGATTGGACGTGACTTTTCCCGAAGATTATAAAGCACTACAGAATACACTCAATGCAGCTCACCGCTAGTCTTTCATCAATAGCATGGCATTCAACGCAGTAACATGTCATGTTGTATCATCGCGCCACAATGTTCTATTTACACATGCCCTCGAAAATAAATCACCACCACATGCCACAACCGAGAAGGATTCGAGAATCATTGTTCGCACGGACTGGTTATGTTGCACTCATTTTGTCCGTGTTCACATATGCCGTCAATAAACATGGTCCCGTAATTCATGAAATCCTCATCTTATATGCCGTTTTATCGAATCTTCATTCGGTATAGTATTTGGCACTGTCTTCACGGAAATGCTAAATTATTTCACCACAGTACTGTGCTAATACCAGAATCTCGACCTTCTGATTGGTAGGTAACTTTTTGTTCATTTTGAACCCTAAAGTTGGATGATGAGGAATATCTATAAAATATCAGTAATTTGTATTCGTGACACTAAATAGCAACTAGCGAGTTACAAAATTCTTCCAGTCAAATGGACTTGGTGGTGAGCAAGCAAGCGCGGTTTCTTGAAGACGAACATTAGTACAAGAACACTGGTAGCAGTTACTGGAACACGAGGAACATTTTATAGATTGCTACTTTCCAGAGGTACTATATTTTAAAGCCCGTTTTTTATAGTAATATCTATAAGTGGTTTTATAAACTATGGGATGCATTTACAATCTGCTGCTTGAATGTATTTTGAGAATAGGAGGAGGACAATAGTAGGGGGTTCGATAAACTTGTGCATAAATTGTATCCTTAGCCGGGGATTCTCGTTCGATTCACAGTGTATGGCTACGCTCTGACCTCTGAAGTTGGCACTTCGAAATTTAATCCATTAATCCCGTCGATTTCCTTTGCGTTTGTATTTGGTCCAATTTTCATTCTGTATTGTTAATGCTCAAGCACACTAACATGACGTCTTGCAACATATTCCTCTCACTGACATGCCATTCATTGTCCTATTGTTTACGTTTCCTGGTAACAAGTAACCAAATCAATGAATAAATCAATTCTCGACTGCATTGAGTCATGACAGGCGTTATTTTTTTAACGACTAAACACAATTAGGCACATGTTTCGTCTGTATTGACATATTGGAAACCAAACAGGGACTGAAATGGATTAGCTCTAGGTTGAATAATTACCTGATCGTCTTTTAAAATGTGTAACTGCTAGGGGGATATCTATGCTAGTACCGGTGAATTATTGATCTCTTTGTTTAGACGCCAGTATAATCAGATATGTACCCACTAGGGTCTCATGTGATTTCCCACGTAAAATGTTTTGATTACCGGCTCCTGGTCTGTTGGTCGGCACGCAGGGATGTGTAATAAAATTTGTTTTGTTTTGTATTTTTTAAATTTCCATTACGAGGTGGGATGACTGAATTCATTTGTTCGATCTTTATATCTCAGATCTTCGTCACAAGCCTCGTGACATGTTCTTTTTCTAGTCTCGCGATAAATAACAGGGTCGTATTGTTTCTTTGGGCGCAGCATCTGTAGATCAGATACCTCGATTCCTCCTAACCGAAGCACTCAAAATCACATTTTGGCCCGTCTCTGATCCTGTGGCTCCGTACTTTCATGGGATTCATTTAGCCAGGGAGCTGAAGACTTTTGATCAAAAACGGTTTTTCACAGTTTGCGCAGATAGAATGCGGGTGTAAATGATTCGAATGGGGGCTTTTCGGATGCCTTTCTTACTTGTATTTGAAGACAACTGATCCTGATCGGACAGCTTGAATACTCTCGTCAAGTGAATCTTCATGATCCCTCTCCTTTCTACTTTACCGTTTTCTTTATGAGAGGTTTAAGGCAGATCAAGGCAACCCGCTGTAAGACAACAAAATATCGTCATGGTAAAAAGTGATAGTGAAAATAAAGCTGCAATTAAT